AGACATTTTGCATTTCATTTGCATCATCATTTTAAGAAAAGTCATTTGCATCGTAATGGTGTTTCGCCAATTTTGGAAAGCATTAAAAAAGGAAAAAAAAGGGGAAAAAAAACATATTCAAAAGATCAAAAATTTTCAAGAATTTCAATGAGATGGCATAAGATAAGAGCTTTAAGACCAATCTAGCTAGCAAAAAAGTTGTTAACTCAGTGAAATTGGCATCATTCAAGAAAAATATTGTGATAGATTATTTTCAAAGTTCTCAGTGGTGATATCCAAGTATTAAAGTATAAACTTTATTTTCTTAGTGGTGATATCCAAGATATTTTTAAAATTACTCGGTGGTTGTCGTAATGGTTTTGAAACCGCTAGACGTGAATGAATGTTTTAAAATTGAGAGAAATAAAAGGGGAGTCGCCACCAATCTTTGTTAGGGTATGATTGGTCACCCAAAAGTTTATCTTTTTAATAAAACTATAAAAAAACGGGTTTAAAGTTTATCAAAAAGATAAATTTTGGTCTGTAAAAAATTAGGCCGAGTCCGAGAGTCGGTTACATGTGGGAAAGGATTAGTGCCCCCACAACACCCATAAATTGGTACAATTTAATTACACATTATTTTCGATGTTGGATAAAAATGATTTTAATTTGAAATTTAACACTAATTCCCTTTATTTGCAAAAATAAAAATTTTGCTAAAATTTTTATTTAGAAATATTGAAAAAATCTTTAAGTTAAAGAATTATCTTAAAATTCTTCAACATCTACGCAAAATTTAAAATAACTCTTTTTGCTTAAAATTTAACATAATAATCCTTAAAATGAAATAACAATCTTCATAAAAAATAATTGTTAGTGACTTTCTAACATCTAGGCAGAGTACCAAGAATTATTTCTTTCGGAATGTTATTTTTATTTTATTTTATAATATCACAAAAAAAATTTTAAGTATTATTCTTTTTTATTATAAAATATTTTATCATCGAACAGTAAATTAAAAAGAGAATAATATAGACAATTATTAATGATAACATGCTAACATATGTAAGCTAATGAATGTTATGTAAGATGAAATGCAATTTAAAAGTTGAGTTATTAAGTATAATGAGACCACCCCGACTCTCCAACATCTAGGCAGAGTTTAGGTATGATTGTTTATATTTAAGATCCCAATTTACTGTTATACTTTATATTTATTAATATTATTATTAATACGAATTACGAAATCGTGTGAGAAAACTTAACGAAGTAAAATTTTTTAAATACCCTATCATCTAGGCGGCATTTGGAAACAAATTGCTTCAAATACAATTTTCACACGTGTCCTTAAGATTTTTAGGAGGTTTTGAGTAAGGGCTTGAATAGAGGTTTTGAAGGTTTGGTTTTAAGGTTTAGAGGGTTTTAAAGCTTGAATTTTAGGATATGGAAGGTTTAGGGTTTTGATTTTAGAGTTTGGAGATTTTAGGGTTTAGATTTTAAGGTTTAGGGTTTTGATTTAAGGGTTTAGATTTTAGGGATTTTGGATTTTGAGGTTTGGATTTAAGAGTTTAAAGGTTTGGGATTTCGGATTTTGGGGGGTTTCGTATTTTAAGATTTTAGATTTTGGATTTTAGGAGATTTTAGATTTTAGGGGTTTTAGAATCCTAGGATTTTGAAAATTAAGAATTAGTATTTAAGGTTTCATTTTTAAGAAAATACGAACATCTTTAAAAATCTCCACCATCTAGGCGAATTTTTTAAGCAAGTTCGATTTTAATGACTTTTGAAAATTAATTTAAAAAATAAACTCATATATTTCTTTATAAAAATTTATTAATAATAATTCTCCAACATTTAGGCGAAATTATTTTTTAGGAATATGTTTTATTTCCTCCAACATCTAGGCAGAGAAAATAATAATAATTATTCTATTATTATTATTATTATCTTAAGCATTTTAATATATATTTTTAATTATTATCCTATATTGTTTTTATTTTATTATTATTAAAAATAATTAGATATTTATCTTAATAAAATTAAACATTTTATCATGCATAAACATAAAAAATACTTAAAATAACAAAACTAATAATATATAAAAATATTAGAAAATTAAAAAAAAAACTTTTTTACCTGAACCGGACCAGTCAACAACGGTTCGATTGGATCGAAAAGGGATCGGTTCGACGCGCGGTTCAGTTGAGCTGGTTGAGGAATGATTCAGACTGGTTTAGAGAGTGGTTCGATCCGACTCAATTGGATCGATCAGCAACTGTGGAAAAAAACGGGTCAATGGGTCGATTACACGGATCTCGGGTCAGATACGGGTCAACACACGGATCCTCCTTGACCTGAAACGACGTCGTTTTGGCCCTATGCTCAAAAGGACGTCATTTTGCTTTTAATGTTTTCTATAAAAATCAGATTTTTTTCAGCTCACTTTTTTGTTTCCACACAAAAAAAATTTTTCGGAGTTCTGGGTTCTCTCCGACCTCCATTGGAATTCGATCCCCGTACTATCGCACTGACCGCCGCCTGGGCTACCGCCAGTGGTGGTTGTCGGTGATCAAAAATTTTGAAATCCTCTTAGAAGCTCCTTTCGACTCGATCTTTCCAAATATGATCTCTTCTTCATCGAAAATGACCCCGATCAACGTAGATCGGGGTTCAAAGTTTTTTGTTCTTGTTTTTTTTTTTTAAACTCAAACTAATAACCTTTTTTTTTGTTGTAGGTATCTCATTGGTGCTGGGTTCCTCATCGATTCGATGAGGACTGTGGTTTCTGTTTTATGATTTTTTGTGTTAATTTTTTTGGTTTTGTTTGTTTTTCTGTTTGGGTATTTGGGGGGTTGTTTGGGTTTTTTTTTCGTTTGAAAGGTTGTTGGTAGGGGTGTGTGTTTTTTGGGTGTTCTGGTGAGGGGATATCTAAGCGTTTTCAGCTTTCGGAAAGGGTGGTCCGAGAGTTTTTTTTTAGAGGAGGTCCGAGAGAGCTTAAAGGGGAAGAAGTTGAGAGTTTTTAAGGAGGTCAAAAGGGGACTTGGGTGGCTGTAGGTGGGCTAAACAGGAGGCTAGTCAAAAGGCTATAAGGTGGCTGGTCGGGGGCGGCAGCAGCGCCAACCACCCTACTTTTTATTTTTTATTTTTTATTTTTTATATAATTAATAATTTTTTAAAATTATTATTAATAATAATATTATTATTAAAATTATTAATATTATATTGAAATGAAAACAATAGACTCGGACAAAAAAAGGAAAAAAAATGGGAAAAAGATATATTCAAAAGATAAAAAAAAATTTAAGAATTTCAATGAGATGGCATAAGATAAAAGCTTTAAGACCAATCTAGTTGGCAAAAAAGTTGTTAACTTAGTGAAATTGGCATCATTCAAAAAAAATATTGTGATAAATTATTTTCAAAGTTCTCGGTGGTAATATCCAAGTATTAAAGTATGAATTTTATTTTTTTAGTGGTGATATCTAAGATATTTTCAAAATTACTCGGTGGTGATATCCGAATTAAAAATTTGAATTTGCACTTATATTTTTTCAATGGTGATATCAGAACATTAAAAAAATTATTTACATTTTCTTAGTAGTGATATCCGAGTGTTAAGGTTTGAATTGCATCTTCTCAGTGGTGATATTCGAGTGTCGATGGTTGATTTGCATTTTTTTGGTGGTGATATCTAACCATTAAAAAATAATTTGCATTTTTCGATAGTGAATTCAAGTTTCATTTGGTGGTGATATCCGAAATCATTTACATATTCTCGGTGGTGATATCTAAGTTTTAAAAGTTGATTTGCATTTTCTCGATAGTGATGTTCGAGTTTCCTTCGGTGGTGATATCCAAAGTTGTTTGTATATTCTCGGTGGTGATATCCGAGCATTAAAAAATCATTTGCATTTTTTCGATGGAGATATTCGAGTTTCCTTTAATGGTGATATCCGAAGTCGTTTGCATATTTTCAGTAGTGATATCCGAGTGTTAAAGCTTCAATTACATTTTCTCAATGGTGATATTCAAGTTTTCTTCGGTGATGATAATAGAAGTCATTTGCATATTCTCGATGGTGATATCCGAGTGTTAAAGCTTCAATTACATTTTCTCAATGGTGATATTCGAGTTTTCTTCGGTGATGATAATAGAAGTCATTTGCATATTCTCGATGGTGATATCCGAGCATTAAAAAATCATTTGCATTTTCTCGATGGTGATATTCGAGTTTTCTTCGTTGGTGATGTCCGAAGTCATTTGCATATTCTTAGTGGTAATATCCGAGTTTCAAATGTTGATTTGTATTTTCTAGATGGTGATATTCGAGTTTCCTTCGATGGTGATATTCAAAGTTATTTTTTGATAGTCAAATTTATTTTTATTGAACCTCTACCTATATGAGCCTTTTTTAATATAAAATTTTAAAAGTTATTGAGCCTCTGTTGAGAGGAGCCTTTTTCAATATTAGCATTTTAAAGTTATTGAGCCTCTGCTTAGAAGAGTTTTTTCAAGATAAAAATTTCTTTAAAGTTGTTGAACCTCTATTGAAAGGAGCCTTTTTCATATTTTAAAGTTTCAAGTTGTCGAGCTTCAAGAAAGAGGAGCATTTCAATTTTATGAGAAAAGTCTTTTGATTAGTTAAAAAAAAAAAAACAAAAAAAATCTCTTGACTTTAGACAAAATTGATGTCTTTGTCTTTGTACTATTCATTATCCTCAGCAATGTGCAAAGAAGGATAGCTACAAACACTGAATTTATTCGAGACTTGTAACCCAATTTTCAACCTAAGATCCAATTTCATCCCAATCAGGCTTGAGGCCCAATTTCATTGTTTAGGCCCAGCCTACTTTTTATTTTATTTTATTTTTAGTTTATTTAATTGTTCTGTTAAATTAAATAAAGAAAAAAGAAAACAAACAGAAAAATACAAGAAAAGGAAAAAACAAATGAGTTAGGGGGTGTCTGGTGCTGTGCATGACACCATTAGCCCACCCCCTGCTAGGCCCTGTGCTACTTACCCAGGCATATGGCCAAAGCCAAACAAAATAGAAGGAACAAAAGGGGGCAAAGAAGTTGGTGATGCGACACCCTTCTCCTGCTAGGCCCTGTGCCACTTCGCCCAAGCATAGAGCCACAGTAAGAGCTCTATAAATAGAGTTCCATGACCGTCCCCAAAAAGGAAAGAAGAAAAAGACCCTGCCAAAAAAAAATTTCGCCAAAGAAAAAATAATAAAAAAAACCCAATCCCCTAGAATGAGGAACCCAGCGTCGAGAGCCCCTGTAAAAAGAAAAAAATGAAATCAGTCTAAAAAAAAGCAAGCAAGTCAGAATACCAAAAAAGAAAGGTTATGCCAAAAGTTAGAAAGTAGATATAGGGAATTTAAGACCGTTTTTGGAGAAAAGAAGGTCAAATCTATGTTTAAGAGTTTGATAAGAGTTTATGGGTGAGTTTTGAGAGTTTTTGGCAACTGACGTGGTGGTTGACAACCACCAACGACAGTCGACACGATGGACGGTGACCAACTGGGGAGAGAGGTAGGGATAGTAGGTTTGGAAGGGAGAGAGAATTTTTTTTTAAGGGAGAGAAAGAAATTATCTAAAAAAAATTTAAGCTTTTATAGAAACTGCCAAAGGCCAAAACGATGCCGTTTCAATAAGCGTCAAAACCATGTCGTTTCGAGACCCAAGGATCCGTGCATCAGCTCACGACCCAACCCAGGGTTCATGCACCCGACCCGACGACCCGTTTCCCTTTAGCCTCTGATCGATCCAACTGAACTAGTCCAGTCCGAATCTAACCGACCCAAACCGCTGAATCGGAGCCGAAACGATGAACTAACCAAATTGGACCGAGCCATCGAACCGATTAGACCGGCGTTGACCAGACTATTGACCGATTGTTCAGGTAAAAAAATTTTTTTTTGAATTTTTTTATATATATTATTTTTATAATATTTATGCATATTAAAATTTTTATATTTGTTAGAATAAATTTTGTTGAAGTAAATAAAAATAAATGATAAAATATGTAGTTAAAATTTTTATAATTTTGTTATTTTTTTAAATAAATTTTTTAAAAATTAAAAATAAACCTAATAATATTAAAAAATAATAAAAAAATTTTTATTCGACGATAAGACTCGTAGGTACTTTGAGTAGTGATACCTACGAAATCTTTAAGTAAGAAGATTTTTTTAATACTACCAGTATATTGGAGTATTTATAAAAAAGTTTTCAATACAATAAAATTTTTTTTTAAATCATAAAATAATAAAAAATTAACTAATAAATTAAAAATAAGTAATAAGAAACCAGAAAAAAGAAAATTTTATCCAATGACGGGATTATAAAAATATTTCGAGTAGAGATGCTTTAAGAAATTTTGTTATTTTTTTAAATAAATTTTTTAAAAATTAAAAATAAACCTAATAATATTAAAAAATAATAAAAAAATTTTTATCCGACGATAAGACTCGTAGGTACTTTGAGTAGTGATACCTACGAAATCTTTAAGTAAGAAGATTTTTTTAATACTACCAGTATATTTGAGTATTTATAAAAAAGTTTTCAATACAATAAAATTTTTTTCTTTTTTTTAAATCATAAAATAATAAAAAATTAACTAATAAATTAAAAATAAGTAATAAGAAACCAGAAAAAAGAAAATTTTATCCAATGACGGGATTATAAAAATATTTCGAGTAGAGATGCTTTAAGAAATTTCTAGGTGAGAAGATTTTTCTTAAATATTACCAGTGTATTTAAATATTTATAGAAAATTTTTAATATAATAAAAATTCCTCTTTTCTTCAAATTTTTAAATAAAAAAAATAATAATTAATAAAATTTCTAAAGAGTAAAATAAAATGTGTGCATTAACGTATTATCATTTACATTGCATGTATGACATAATTTTTTTAAAAAAAAATAAATTCAAGCCTTTAAGGATTATATTCTAAGGTATTCCGAGAAGTGATGCTTAATAAATTTTTAGGTGAGAAAGAATTTTACCAACGTATTAGAACATTTTAAGAATTATTTCAATAAAAATGTTCTAATTAATTTTTCTCGAATTAAATTTGAGCTCTAAAAAAATAAAAAAACAATTTCCAATAAATAAAAAAATCAATAAAATTATTTTTCAAGCATAAAAAATGAGACTGTATTTTATCAAATCAAAGGATAACGCGTAGTTAAATTGTACCATTTTTAAACGGATGTTATGGGGGTGCTAATCTTTTCTCACGTATAACCGACTCTCGAACTCAGACTGTTTTGCATGCTATAAAATTATATTTTTAATAAATTTTAAAATCTTATTAAAATGATAAATTTTAATAGATGACTAATCGCACCTAACCAAAAAAAATTGGTAGCAACTCTATTTTTTTGTATTTTTATTTTTATTTCTAAATTTGTCAGGCGATTTCAAAACCGTTACAATAAAAGAAATAAAAAGATGAATTAGTATTAAGAGGATTGGTTTATTCAAAGAATATGGATGAAATAAATTTAAAAGATCATTTTATCCATGTAATTTATTATCAAAATAATTAATTAATAAAATGAGTAAAATAATAATTTAATAGAATAATTAAATATTATTTATTAATATTAAATACTAATACTTTGATTAATATTAATTTATTTTATTTTAAAAAATTAAAATTAATTTAATCATATTAAATACTAATTAATAATATTTTGTATAAAATTTAATAATAGTCAATATTATTAACTATTATTTGATAATATTAAATTTTAATAATATTAATTTGTTCAATTTAAAAATGTTAAAATATTAATTTAATGATATTAAATATTTTCTTACTATTTTATTATTTAATTTTATTATTTCAAATTCTTTTAATAATATTTTAATATTCTATTTCAAAAAAATGATATTTGAATATTATTTTATTTCTAAATATTAATTTAATAATATTTTCAAAATATTTTAAAATAAAATATTAGTTTAATGCTATTTATTATTATTTTAATAAATATTTATTATTACTAATAATTTTAGAACTTTTTTAATATATTATATTATTTCAATTATATTTATATTAAATATTAATTTAATAATTTTTAATACATTTTAATATTAAGTATTAAGTATTAATTTTATAATACTTTAAAGTTAAATGTTAACTAACAATATTTATATTTAATATTGTTTTTATTATTTTAATATAAAATAGTAATTTATTAAAATTTTAACACTTTGTTAATAATATTTTTGTATAAAATATTAAGTTAGTAATATTTAATATTTAATATTATTTTAGTATTTAATATATTTTCTACAATTTGAATATTAAATATTATTTTAATAGTATTTTAATATTTCAATATTTTAATAGTAATTGTAAAATATTTAATATTTAATTAATTTTATCATAGTTTATTATTATTTCAATATTATTTAAATATTTAATATTTATTTAATATTATTTTACTTTGAAATATGAATTTAATAATATTTTATTTTAATATTAATATAATAATATTTTATTTAATTATTAATTTAATAATATAATATTTTAATATTATTTAATTAATTTAACGATAATTTCAATAGAATTTAATATTATTTGATTAATTATTTCTTAAAATTTAATTTAGTTATAATTAATATTAATTATTTTTTTGATTAAATTTATAATTAAATATGTAAGGAAAAATTTAAAATTAATTAAATATATAAGAACAAAATTATTCATAAATACTATTTCCAATTCTGAATGGACAAGGAATTGCAATTTTTAAGACAAAGTAAAGAATTGCTATCCCTTATTTTTAAGAAATTTGTATTCTATATAATAACTAATTTTTTGCTAAAAAATAACCAAATAAAGGAATAGAATGACCATAAGAAAAATGGGGGAATGGAATTGTAATTCCCCCCGACCAAATATCCTGTCAGTACTTTAATTTCCTTTCTTACTAAAATTAGGCCTTTGGCAGAGGTGAATTGTTTTTCATCAAAAATTTCATTGATAATAGTATATTTATAGTTATTTTAATAAAAATAATAAAAGATTTTATTTCATTCAACAAAATATTAAAATAAAAAATTTCAAATCTAATATTGCATATGTGTCATACATTAACAATCTAAAAAAAAAAATATTTCGTATATTGTGATTACATTTTCTTTCTTAGTTTTTTGTGCTATGTTATAAACATTGTATTTTTTTTCAATTATTTGATAATTTTTTAATTTATTATAAATTATAATCTTTTTTAAAAAACATTTTAAAACAAAAGAAAGTAAAAATAGAAAAGAATAACAATTATAAATTTGGAGGATTTTTAATTTAATTTTTATGTCTTTTTATATTTCTACAACATTCTAAAATTTAGATTTTAGTAGTTTTTAAAATAAATATCTTTTACATACTCAATTTAAATTGGTAGTTTTTTACTATTAAACCCGATATGACGTAGTTTGGTGATAACAATTGTGAAACCAAAATGAAATAACTTTATAAATATTATTGTTCCTTCTCTTTCTCTCTATCTTTACTCCTCAAGATAACCACAATTTAATATGCTACTGTTTCTTTCCATGGACTTTTATTCTAGTGACACGTATCCTCGTTAAAAGACTCTTTATTTTTTTATATATTTATGTACTACTTTAAATATTTTGTCTTTTTATATATTTATATAAATTAACATGCATATATGTTTATACTATTATTAATTAATGTTTTTAATTTTTTGTTTAAAATTACATGAAATTTTCTATTCATTAAATTAGACATTCATAAATCTATAATATCTATGATCGAACACAATTAATTGTAACATATTTTGTGTCATTTAAATTTTGAGTCTAAATTCTCTTAAATAATACAAATAATTATGAATCAAATCAAAATTTCGTGAATCTAACTATTAATGAATTTAACCATTTATAAATCTATTGTACTTAGATAAATTATTTAGATTGTTCATGAATTTAATCATTTATAAATTATGATATTCATGAACTTAATTAATTTTAGATGAATATATTTTATGTTTCGTGTCATTTAAATTTTGAATCTAAATTTATATACTATTAAGTAATATGAAAAATTATGAATCAAATCCAAATTATATCAACCTAACTATTCGTGAATGTGGCCTATTTTCTTTTTCAATATTAAATGGTGAATTTTGTTGATGATTAAATTAAAAGACACATAAACATTAAAAGAAATTACGACCTAAATAGTGCTACGTCAAAGTTGCAAACAAATAAAAATTATTTGGCAAAAAAAGGAATTTTTAACAATAAAAGAATAACCATATATTTTATTTATGTTGATGTGGCTTTTGGATTGGCCATCAACAAGACTCTCTCCATTTAATATTGAAGAAGGAGAGGAGTCAAATCCACTATTCATATACTTAATTATTTATAAATTTCTGGTATTTTGAATAAATTAATTAGGGATGAATGTATTTAATATTTAATATAATTTAAGTTTAACACATCTATTAAATAATATAAATACTCATTAATTAAACCAACATATTAAGAAATAACATCCACAGCAACATGCGAGATGCTATCTAGTTATTCTCAAATTAAGTTGCAGACTGTCTCTCCCACAACCATCAATAGTCAAAAGTTGTTAGTCTCTAGTGTTAATTTTCTTCAAGAAAAAAATCCACTTTCTTCCTTTTATTGCCCTATTTCCAATAATAAGTTTATTTATTTCTAAAAATCTCTCATTTTTCAAAAAAAAATTTTAAAAAACCTTGAAACCTTGATTTATCGGTGTTACCATCATTCTAAGGCACAAAACATTCTTTAGCCTCTTCCCTCCTATTTTATTATCCTTCTAACGATTCAAAGCCT